TCGCACTTGGTAATATAGTGACAGTGAGTGTTACTGTTTTAGCTTCTATTATTACAGTATGAAAGTAAGCTTTTTACCATGGGATGAATGAGGAGCAGTGATCCCAAGAGCAGTTTGTAAAAAGTGGAACTGTGACACATTTTAACTCTTATATTAGCAAATATGTCTAGATACACTTTTCAGTATTCGGATCACATTGACCTCAAGGGCATGATTTTGATGGGAACCACATCTGGGCTTTACAGTCCACCAAAATATCAAAGAAAGGACAAGTATTTCTCAAATAATCTATTATTAAAAATATGCAAGGTCTAAATCATTGCTAATGCTATTTTTAATGGAACCTAAGCTTATATATCAAGAAAGTGCTTTTGAAATTTTTACCAATGATCTCTTTTAAGGCAGCATTTTAATAAGACCAATACTTAAAACATTGACAAATGTTGCTGGCAGTATTGAAGTCAGTGTTATGATTTATAGGTCCCTTGGAATTTACAAGTATATTACAAAGGGAGGAAGTAGAAACTAATGAATTAATATTTATTTATGCTAAGCTGCAACCTGTTTAAATGTAAAAAACTCATTTAAAATTTAAAGACCTCTTATTCTGAAGAAGGCAGCCTCAAGAGTTGAATTTTAGTCCTTGTGTTTCTGCGGTCAGCTAGTTTCTAGGGGGTGCTGCTACTCTGAATGGCTCTTTGTGGCCTTGTCTTCTCTAGAAAGTTTGAGCAGCGCCAGTCCAGCTGGGCTGCTGGCAGTCACTGGTGTGCCTCCTCTGGCAGAACACATCCCTGCTTGGCTTCGTTGTCTTTGCTGGGGCACCATGGTCTCACGTAATCAGGTTGCATCGGCAAAGGACCTACAGCATGGTAAATAGGCATTTCAGAGCATGTCACAGAAGTGTGTGTAGACTAATCCAAGCTCGTTCTGTCCAGTCTCTGAGCTAGCTCCACACAAGGCATTGCAAATGCAAACTATGTAATTTGTTTAGTTTAGTACTGCACTTGAGCTAATAAGCCTCACTGTGCAGCCAAGGGTACCATACACCTTATTCTATCGCAAAGCACAGTTATGTTAAGCTTAGCTGGTTCTTACCCGTCTGGTTCTGAGCACTACTAGCAAAGGAGCTCTTCTTTGTCCACATCCATCTATGCCGACAACTGTTAGAAACATGCCAGTGTGTCGTATACTGTGAGGGCACTGGAGAGTTTGTGATGTATTGTCAAGCACTACTACACTTCTCAAAAAACCATGAGAGTTCATGTTTGCATTCTTCAGGTCTTCTCATACCATCTCTGTCTCATTAGCCTAATCTTTGTGCTCTCCTTGCATATATGTTAAGCTTAAATTGCTACCTCTGTTTTTCACTCCTTCCCTGGTACTTCGTGCTATGCTAGTTAGCCTGAATTAAAAAAAAAAAAAAAACTTTTAATGCCATTTAAGCCACTGCCCCCCTTGCTGAGGCTTTTTCTGTTAATATACCTGGATTTTACAAGGGATTAATATATAGTATAATAAACTGTGACACGTAGGAAAACAAGTGGTTTTTAAGGAGGAAATGGGATATGGTGAGAAGTGCGTATAGCTACCAGTGAAATCAGGAAAGATATCTTAACTGTTGAATAGATGTTAAATTCTTGTATTTTGATAATGACACTCAGCAAATTAGATATTAAGAGAAAGTCTGATTTGCATGCTAAATGTACAGACTCAACTTAGTCAGTCTAAGTTTGTTGGAGTGCCTGAAACTGGACAGCAGAAAAATGCATGTTCACTCTTAGAGCACTTTACGCTCTTAATTGACTAAGACAAGCTAGCATAACTATTCCCTGTGCTTGGGATTGAATATAGTTCACCGTATTAGCATAACTATTTTGTATGTTTGAAAATACTTGGTTTCAGTTAAACAAAAAGGTTTGACGTTTGCATTTCTCTTTGTTCTTATAGAGTAAAATATGAATTTATTTCAGTAAGACAAGAAGTCATTCATCAGGACTGGGCAATTTTTCTTTGGCACTGTATAAGTTCTCAGGGTGTTTTCAAAGCCAGTTCACACCAAATAGCACTGCCTCTGAAAGGCGCAATGTGTCTGTCACTAGGTGTATGTTTCTGCGACCCCCCTTTCATTGTGAGATCGAGAAATTACAAAAGCAGGTAATTAATTAAAATAAATAATGGAATAAGTATAATGGAATAAGTATATTCCATTTTAATTTGGATCAGATCTGACTTGTTTTGAAGTCACTGTAGCTGACAAAGGTGAGGTGCAAAAAAGTATGTTGCGGGCAAGAGGAACCCCTTGGCAGAATCATGGTCTTGGACTAGCTGAAGGCAACTGTGAAACTGCACAAACTGAGGCATACCAGAGAACTGACAAGCCATGCTTGTGGTGATGTTTTTGGTAAAGCTTAATCTGCATTTTAATGATTTGTAATTCTTGTCAGTGTATCTACACATTAATGACAATATATAGTAGTGCAGTCATAAAACAGCATATGTTTTTTTTATTTTTTTAATTATGCTGCCTTCTGTAACAGCTAATATGTTTGAGTCATTTTACATTTTTGTAAATATAGTGCAAAGTTGCCATAGCATTTCTAGTGTTCCTTCTCTATTTACAATGTCCATTTTTGAATGTGCTTTTCAAGTTAAGTTTAAAAAG